TCGATCTCTTGACCTCGTGATCCACCTGCCTCGGCCTCCCAAACTGCTGGGATTACAGGCATGAGCCACCGTGCCCAGCCGTTTCCTTATTTCTTTTAACTGCTTTTGCCTTAAAGTTTATTTTGTCTGATGTGAGAATAGCTACCCCTGCTTGCTTTTGGTGTCTTTTTGCATGAAATGCCTTTTCCCACCCTTTTACTTTAAGTTGATGTGAGTCCTTATGTGCTAGGTGAGTCTCCTGAAGGCAGCAGATGGTTGGTGATCGGTTTTGTGGTTCTGTATCTTTTATGTGGAGCATTTAGGCCATTTACAATCACTTTTAGTATTGAACTGTGAGGTACCATTGCATTCATTGTGCTTTTTGTTGCCTATGTACTTTGATTTTTTTTGTTCTTGTTTTTAGTTTTTAACTTGTATTTTTGTTTTATAGGTCCTGTGTGATTTATGCTTTAAAGAGGTTCTGTTTTGATGCGTTTCTAGGATTTGTTTCATGATTTAGAGCTCCTTTTAGCAGTTCTTGTAGTGGTGGGTTGGTAATGGTGAATTCTCTCAGCATTTGTTTGTCTGAAAGACGCTATCTTTCCTTCATATATTATGCTTAGTTTTGCTGGACACAGAAGTCTTGTCTGTTAATTGTTTTGTTTGAAGAGGCTGAAGATAAGGCCTCAAACCTTTCTAGCTTGTAGGGTTTCTGCTGAGAATCTGTTGTTAATCTGATAAGGTTCTCCTTTATAGGTTAACTGGTACTTTAGTCTCACAGGTTTTAAGATTCTTTCCTTCAGGCCAGGCATGGTGGCTCACGCCTGTAATCCAAGCACTTTGGAGGCCAAGGCGGGTGGATCACCTGAGGTCAGGAGTTCAAGACCAGCCTGACCAACATGGTGAAACCCCATCTTTAAAAAAAAAATAAAATTAAATAAAAAAAAAAAAGAAGATTCTTTCCTTTGTCTTAACTTTGGTTAACCTGATGACAATGTGCCTAGGCAAATATATTTTTGTGATGATTTCCCCGGTGTTCTTTGTGCTTCTTATATTTGGATGTCTAGGTCTCTAATAAAGACAGGGAAGTTTTCCTTGATTATTCCCCCAAATATGTTTTCCAAGCTTTTAGAATTCTCTTCTTCCTCAGGAATATCGATTATTCTTAGGTTTGGTCATTTAACATAATCCCAGACTTCTTGGAGGCTTTGTTCATATTTTCTTATTCTTTTTACTTTCTTTGTTGCATTGGGTTAATTTGAAGATCTTGTCTTTGAGCTCTAAATTTCCTTCTTCTACTTGTTCAATTCTATCGCTGAGATTTTCCAGAGCATTTCACATTTCCAAAAGTGTGTCCAAAGTTTCCTGAATTTTTAATTGTTTTTTAAGCTGTTTCCTTGAATATGTCTCTCTTCACTTCTTGTATCACATTTTAAATTTCCTTGAGTTGGGCTTTGCCTTTCTCTGGTCCCTCCCTGATTAGCTTAATAACTAACCTCTTGAATTCTTTTTCAGGTAAATCAGGGATTTCTTCTTGTTTCAGATGCATTGCTGGTAAACTAGTGTGATTTTGGGGGAGTGTTGAAGAGCCTTGTTTTGTCATATTACCAGGGTTGGTTTTTTGGTTCCTTCTCATTTGGGTAGGCTCTGTCAGAGGGAAGGTCTAGGGCTGAAGGTTATTGTTCAGATTCTTTTGTCCCATGGGGTATTCCCTTGAGGTAGTACTCTCCCTCTTTTCTTATGGATGTGGCTTCCTGTGAGCCAAACTGGAGTGATTGTTGTCTCTCTTCTGGGTCTAGTGACCCAGCGAGTCTACCTGGCTCTAGACTAGTACTGAGGGCTATCTGCACAGAGTCCTGTGATGTGAATCATCTATGGGTCTCTCAGCCATGAATATGAGTGCCTGTTTTGTTGGAGGTGATGGGGTGCAATGGACTCTGTTGGGGTTCCTTAGCTTTGGTGGTTTAATGCTCTATTTTTGTGCTGGTTGGCCTCCTGCCAGGAGGTGGTGCTTTCCAGGGAGCATCAGCTGCAGTATTATAGGGAGTAACCAGTGATGGGTGGGGCCCTAGAACTCCTAAGATATATGCCCTTTTTCTTCAGCTACCAGTATGGACAGGGAAGGATTATCAGGTTGGGGAGGGGCTGTGTGTAGTCTGCGCTAAGACTCTCCTTGGGCTGATCTTGCTGCAGCTGCTGTGAGGGGTGGAGGTGAGATTATCATGTCACTGGAGTTTTGTACCTGGGAGGATTATGGCTGCTTCTGCTGAGTCATCCAAGGTTGTTGGGGAAGTGGGGGAAAGCTGGCAGTCACAGGCCTCACCCAGCTCCCATGTAAACCAAAGTACCTGACTCACTCCCACCATGTCCCCCATCAACAGCCACCAGATCATTTCCAGGCTTGAAAATCTGCCCCAGACTATCTGCCTCCCAGCTGCAGAAGAAAAGGGCTTGGTTCTTCCCCACCTGTGGAGTCTGTACACTGGATTGGCGCCCTCCCTGGAGTTCTGGCCAGGAGACTTCTCACCCCGTTCAAATTGTTACAAAGTTCAGCTAGAGACTTTTCTCCCTGTGTAGTTTTACCTTCTGCTCCTCTCCCAGTGGAGCCCTGTGGTACCAGCAGGAATGGCCTGCTAGGGGACCCAGCGAGCTCCCAGCACCTTTCTGCTGCTTCCTCTACCTCTGTATTTCACTCAGCTCTCCAGATTGACTCAGCTCCAGGTAAAGTTGGAAACTTCTCCCGCAAACAGACCTTCAGCTTCTCCAGTGGGCGTGTGTGTTCAGGAGAGTCCGAGTCTCCCTTTCCCACTTCTGCAGGTTGAGACACTCACACTTTTAGGGGGGGTCTCCTGGGTCCTGCAGGAGCAGTCTACTTCCTTTAGAAGGTCATGTTGCCCAGGCTGGTCACAAACTATGGCATATTTTTTATGTACGTACAAAAGAAAAGGATTATGATAAAGGAGACAGGGAGACAGGAGACCTGCCTTTGTCTGGTTAGGAGGTATGGGGAAGTGAGGTATACCTATTTTGTTTATTACTTGCAGATCTCAAATCATGCATAGTGTAAGTATACTAATGTTCAGGTCAACTATACATAGATCATGTGTCAGGGAACTTCTAAAATGAATCTTTCTTCTGAACACTTAATCTGGTAGTTCCATTGGCAGAATAAATCCCTATCTATTACATTTATAGAGGTTTTGTTGAAAAGAGTGTTCCTCAGATGATGGTCTGAAAGTAACAGGTTACTGGTTGAGACATGAGAACATTCGGTGATTTTTTTTCTCTTCTTTGATAGATCTACTTGTCAAATGTGTTACTTATTTTGGACATGTCAAAAATTTCCCACTGTAAGCCAAAGTCATCTTTAGTGAAATTTTTGACAGTTGTGAAGAAAAGTGTAAGAGATTCATGGTGAAAGTATACAGAGGAAGTGAAAATTTTGTCAGGGGGAGATTATGGCTTTGGCAGACAATCCCATGACAAACAGCAAAGAGGCCACTATATTCGGTTTAAGTGTGAATGGTGTGTTGCACATGAATGAAGCAGAGACTGAAAAGAGGACATACGATTAATCACATGATTGTAGTTGACTCCAGATTATATACTAAACAAAATGATTATTTTTTTTCTACAAATTGATAAGACACTAGGTGTCCTCATGAAGGTTTTGATGAGGGACCCAAGATCAAGTGTGACCAAACGTCTTTGAACAGTTTGGCTACTGTCTAATGGACCCACATCCATTAGTTTTGGGATTGAGGACTGGCTGGGATTGAGGACTTATCAGACCTTGGCCACCAGCTCTTTGCTTCGGATCACTGTCTTCTAACATTCAGAAAGCATAGGAAAATCAGAAACAAACACGCATGGTATAAGACTTTTTGTTGATAGAGGTGGATTTTGCTATATTTCCCAGGATGGTCTAGAACTCCTGAACTCAATCAATCTGCCTGCCTCAGCCTCTCAAAGTGCTGGGATTAAAGGTATGAGCCGCCGTGCCCAGCAGAGATAAGACTTTTTAAAAATAGATGAAAGAAAAGTAACAGCAGATGAAGTAATCAATAAATATGCACATTAATTGAGAAAACATCTGCTAAGCGCTGTACTTCCAACCCCAAATATCTAACTCTATCTAATTGTATTCCCATCTTTAAATAAGATGAATTCAGAACTAAGAGCTCAATGAAACAAGTCAGAGTTCAAGTTGTTGTTGAGAAAGATTCACTTGGCAATAGGTCAGGAAAGTGACCTGAACTGGACACAAGCAGCCTGAGATTCATGCTTGTGGATCCAAGGGGCCCACAGGACACCCCCCAGCAAGAGTCTTCAAGATAATCTTGGCAGGAACTCGAGTTTTTGAAGGGCAAGGCTACCACTCATTATCTGAAACTAAAAGCTGACTTATTCCTTGCTAAGCAAGGCACCAGGTGGAGAGGAGGACCCTGTGCTTATAAGACACAATCTTTATAGAAAAGGAAGCTGCTGGTGTTTTTTAAATAGAGTTTTTGAGAGCATACTGTTCAGGGACTCCAGACCTTCAGAAACAGGAGTGTTTATGAATAATTTAGCATTTGGCCATTGATGCAGGCTTTGTGGAAGGGGCTGTTGCTGACTGGCTGAGCTTTCAGATATGTAGAACCTGCCACCGATGGACTTGGCTTTCAGAAATGTGGTTAGTGAGATAAGTAGTCAATGGCCAATTGAGATGAGTTTAAAGTAGTTACTTTTTACTATTTTCAAAGAACATCTGTGTTTTCTGGAATGATAAGAGTTTTCTTGCTTTACTCTAGGACTACAAGTACAAAAGTAGAAGTAGAGAAAGGGAGGATGAGGTGCATAACATGGGGAGAGCATGGCTCTGTTATGTGTTAAGTGTGATTATTGGAGCAGGTATATTTTTTTCCAGAGAGCACTTCATCTTAGCTCAGAATATCATTGTGCAGTATGACAGCACTGGAAACTCTTCTCTGGCCACTGTCTCAGGATCCTTGGACAATCATTTTCTTGTTTCTCATTAGTATCTAGTGAACTAAAAGATCACCAAATGAATGAAGAAGAAGAATCAGAAGAGCTTGCTTCTAGCCTGCTACGTGAGGATGTACCAGGTAATTATGACTTAAAAATAGTGAAAACAGGAACAGAGATATGACAGGGAGAAAAAGGAGAGGAAATAAAAGAGACTTAAAGGAAGGGTCAAATATTGGGAGGAGTGGTGAAAGGAGAAGATTTCAGAGGAAAAAGTAGAGAAGTGGGGAGCAAAAAGAATGCAGAAAAGAGAATCATGGGGTCACATGGAAAGTCTTCATAAATCACAATCTTGGCCCAGGAGCAGAGCAACTAGCACGTGAAAATGAGAAGGGTTCCTGTGTCATGTGTTTCTCAGAAGAAGTGCCAGGAGGCCCAGAAGCAAGGACTGAAAGTGACCAAGGCTGCCTGAGGGCCATGGGATGGGGTGGCTCAGTGGGCCCCACAGACCCCCAGTAGAGTGGAGGCAGGTGCTCCAGTCTGTCCAGAATTCTATTCTCGGCATTTCCTTGACCTGAGCCTTTGGGGAAGTGCAGGGAGGCAAGAGATCATTATAAAGTCGTATTTAAGAGGATGGGCTCTGTTAATTACATATAGATGATGTCTTAGAAGGATATTCTTTGAAATAGCAGCTATCTTGTTTATTGTATTAGTATATTAAGTTACACCCAATTTTCTATGAATCCCAAGTTAGCCCAGTGAACTTCTGCTGGTAGATAACAGTGTCACTTTGCTGCACCTTAAAAAGGCCTGACCCAAAAGACAATTAATCCTGGTACTTAATTGTCAGGAGGGAAGACTGCAGGTCTAGTCTTCTTAGTGCAGCATGTATTTTTGATAGAAGACCCAGGGCCCACCCTAGACTCCTAGTCCTCAGTTCAGTGAGTTTTTGGTTCTTCTAGAAGGACGAGAGGAATGACTTTCCAAACGTCTTTATAAACTCAAGCCTTCTATAGTATAAATTGTCCTAAAATGGTCTACACCTTTTATTTATTAATTTGTTTCCTCACGACTAGTTGTTGTTTTCTAGATACTGTGGATACTGGAAGCAACTCTGCTTTGGAAAGTACCAAACCCAAGAGGAAAAGAAGTAAGAATAAATACGAATTTACTTGCTTTTGATGTTGCAAACATGTTTTCAATGCCAGAGTTTTATTTTTGTCATTGTTACTATTTCGGTTATTATTTGTAATACTGTGATAAATAGAAGGGTGGCCTCCCTAAAATGTCCACCTCCTAATCCCTGGAGCTGTAACCTGCTATCTTAGATGGCAAAAGGGACTTTACAGATATAATTAAGCTAGGAACTTAAAATGGGGAGATTATTCTGGATTATGTAGGTGGGCCCAATCTAATCTTGTAGGCCTTAAAGAATAGAGAACTTTTCCTGGTTATGGAGAAAGGAAGATATGGCTGTGGAAGAATCATCAAAAACATGTAATGTTGCAGGCTTTGAAGATGGAAGAAGGGACCAAGGAATATGGGTGACCTCTAGATGCTGAAAAGACAAGGAAATAGGTTGTCCTTTCCAGCCTGCAGACAGGATTTACTTTAGCCAGTGAGACCCATGTCACATTTCTCACTTGACATAACTGGAAAAAAATACATTTGCATTGCTTTAAATCACTAAATTTGTGATAATTTGTTATGGCAGCAATTAAGAGTAATACAGATTTTGGTACTTAGAAGTGGGGGTGTGGTTATAACATCTTCCTGAAAGTGTTGGTGTGGCTTTGGGATTGGTGATGGATAGAGGCTGGAAGAATTTTAAATAATATGATAGGGAAAGCCTATATTGCCTTGAGTAGTTCTTAGTAGAAACGTGGATGCTAATGACTGTGCTAGTGAGGACTGAGGAGGAAGGGAAAAAGATGGGAGAGAAAGCCTATATTGCCTTACAGAGAACCTGGATCATCATGAGCAGACTGTTAGTAAAAATATGGAGGTTAACTGCCTAACTGGGGAGGGCTCAGAAGGGCATAAGGAATACATGGAAAAGGCCTCCTTATTATATAGTGACCTGTCCTGTACTCATGTGAAAAGCAGAACTTTCTGGATCTATAGCTAAGAAGCTTTCCAAACACAGTGGTCATTGTGTGTTGTGGTGTCTTTTGCCAACTATAGTAAAATGCAAGAGGAAAGAGATAAATTGAAGGAAGAGCTGCTAAACGAAAAAGAATCAAAACTTGATGACATAGAAAATTCTCAGCCTATCCAGGTGACAATGAGATACGATTAGGAGATTCACTGTCAGGGACGTGTGCTTGGTAGAGACAAAGAAGACTTTTTGCCAGTTCCCTGGGAAGTAGTGAAAGGTCATGTTATTCATTCATAGAAAAAGTTCTTTGAAGAAATGAGGCATATGAGTCATGGATCCCTCAGCCATCTCAGCAGAAGTCAAAAATAGATGTGTGTTGCCACAAAAAGAGTAAAATACCTAGGAATACAGCTGATTAAGAAGGTAAAAGATCCTCTATAAGGAGAACTAAAAACCACTGTTCAAAGTAATGAGAGATGACACAAAAAATGGAAAAATATTCCCTGTTCATGGATAGGAAGAATCAATATCATTAAAATGGCCATACTGCCCAAAGCAATTTATAAATTCAATGCTATTGCCATTAAACTACCATTGACATTCCTCACAGAACTAGAAAATACTATTTTATAATTCACATGGAACCAAAAAAGAGCCTGAATGGTGAAGGCAATCTTAAGCAAAAAGAACAAAGCTACCCAACTTCAAACTGTACTACAGGGCTACATTAACTGATATGGTTTGGCTGCGTCCCACCCAAATCTCATCTTGAATTGTATCTCCCACAATTCCCATGTGCTGTGGGAGGAACCCAGTGTCAGGTAATTGAATCATGAGGGCTGGTCTTTCCTGTGCTACTCTCATGATAGTGAATACGTCTTCATGAGATCTGATAGTTTTATAAGGAGGAGTTTCCCTATGCAAGCTCTATCTCTCTGCCATCCACGTAAGATGTGAATTGCATCTTTTTGTCTTCTGCCGTGATTGTGAGGCTTCCCCAGCCACATGGAACTGTAAGTCCATTAAACCCCTTTTCCTGTATAAATTACCCAGTCTTGGGTATGTCTGTATCAACAGTGTGAAAATGAACTAATACGGTAACCAAATCAACATGGTACTGGTACAAGAACAGACACATAACCCAATGGAACCGAAGAAAGAACCCAGAATAAGACCGAACACATACAACTATCTGATCTTTGACAAACGTGATAAAAACAAGCAATGGCAGAAGGATTTCTTATTCAATAAATAGTACTGGGATAACTGGCAAGCCATATACAGAAAATTGAAACTGGACCCCTTCCTTATACCATATACAAAAATTATCTTAAGACCGATTAAAGAATTAAATGTAAAAGTCAAAACTATAAAAACCCGGAAGACGACCTATTCAAGACATAGGCACAGGCAAAGAGTTCATGACAAAGACGTCAAAAGCAATTGCAATAAAAGCAAATATTGACAAATGGTATCTAATTAAACTAAAGAGTTTCTGCACAACAAAAGAAGCAGGCAACTTACAGAATGGGAGAAAATTTTTACAAACTATGCATCTACCAAAGATCTAAAATTCATCATCTGTAAGGAACTTAAACAAATTCACAAGAAAAAACAAACTACCCCATTAAAAAGTATGCAAAAGACATCAACAGATACTTCTCAAGAGAAGACATATATGCAGCCAGCAGTCATTAGAAAAAAGCTCAACATCACTGATCACTAGAGAATGCAGATCAAAACCGCAATGAGTTACCATCTCGCATCAGTCAGAATGGCTATTATTAAAAATTAAAAAACAACAGATACTAATGAGGTTGTGGAGAAAAAGGAACACTTATACACACTGTTGCTGGGAGCGTAAATTAGTTCAACTATTGTGGAAGATGGTTTGGCAATTACTGAGTATATAAAGAATATTATATACTTTATATACAAAGGAATATTAATCATTCCATTATAGAGACACATGTGCATGTAGGCTCATTGCAGCACTATTCACAATAGCAAAGACATGGAATCAACCTAAATGCCCAGCAATGATAGACTGGGTAAAGAAAATGTCGTCCATATATACCATGGAATACTGTGCAACCATGAAAAAAGAATTAGATAATGTGCTTTGCAGGGACATGGATGGAGCTGGAGGCCATTATTCTTAGCCAACTAATGCAGAAACAAAAAACTGAACACCACATTTTCTCACTTATAGTGGTAACGAAATGAGAACACATGGTCGTATAGAGGAAAACAACATACACGGAGTCCTTTATGAGGGTAGAGGGTTAGAAGAGAGAGGGGATCAGGAAAAATAACCTATGGGTATTAGGCTTAATACCTGGGTGATGAAATAATCCGTACAACAAAACACCCATGACACACGTTTACCTGTGTAACAAACCTGCACATATATTCCTGAATTTAAAGTATAAAAAAATCCAAAAATAGATGTGTGGATTTCTAGGAATGATCTGTGGGGAAGCTTCATGTCTAATGGAGGAAATCCCCATGATATATGCAGGAGATCTATAAGATTCTTGAAGGTTTTATACTAAGAGAAACAAAGATGTTCCTGTCCTATCTCCTAGAACCTGTAATTTGTTACTTTACATGGCAAAAGGGACTTTGAAGATGTGATTAAGTTAAGGATCTTGAGGTAAGATCACACTGGTCCCTAAAATCAGAGAACATTTCCTCCTGTTGAGAGAGGGACATGTGACTCTGGAAGAATGGTCAGAGAGAATAGAGCTGGATGTGGAGATGAATGCAGGGGTCCATGAACTAAAGAATGTGGCAGCCTTCTGCTGGAAAAGGCTCCTCTGCGGCCTCCAGAAAAGAACAAAGCCCTGTAGACACCTTGTTTGACTTTAGCCCTGTGAGATGCATGTCAGATTTCCAACCCACAGAATTATGAGACCAGGAATTTGTTGTTGTTGTTGTTTTTGTCACTAAGTTTATGGTAATTTATTATAGCAGCGATACCTTTTGCAAGATTTTTTCTTTAAAAAAAGAATATTTCACCCTGTATTCTTATACCTTCTAAAATAACAAATTATGTATTTTTCAAATTACACCTTTATGCTGTTTCTTTTTCTGATTTTAAAATACATGTTCCCTGTGAATTTTGTTGTACATATTTCCATATTTTTTCTATGCTTTATTAGCGCATTAAGAATTATATATCTAAATGAATACATTTAAACTGTTACATTTCCCTTTAAATCAATGTGACATGCACTAGATATTGTAAACATTTAATATCTTGCCAACTTAACTGTAAAAAAGTTATATTTCATTCTTATTTTATCTTGCATTGCTTTCATTTTTTGTGCATTTTTGCATTCTTCATTTGCTATTGGCCATTTGTGTTTCTTTTTCTATGAGTGCCTAGAACTTATATTTTGCTATTGTGTTGTCTTGTTTTTCCCCCATGCTTTAGGATGACAGGGATACTTATATATGACATATACTAAATGCTGCCCGTGTGTGCTGTCATATTTGATGTTATTCTTTTAGGTTTCTTTTTGGTGCAGGGACATCTCGTTTGATTGCACTTCACTTTATTGTACTTTGAGGATATTGTGAGTTTTACAGATTGAATGTTTGTGACAACCCTGTGTCAAAAAGTTTATTGGTGCCCTTTTTCCAACAACATGTGCTCGCTTTGTGTCTCTGTCACATTTTGGTAATTCTTGAAATTTTCATTTCAAACTTTATTATTATTATTACATCTGTTATGGTAGTATGAACAGTGGTAACGATGGTCTTTGTTGTTACTGGTGTAACTGTCTATGGCACCACACACTGTGTTTGTATAAGATGGCAAACCTAATGAATGTGTGTGTTTCGACTGCTTCACTGGCCAGCTGTTCCCCTATTTCTTTCTCTCCCTCTCCTTGACCTCCCTCTTTCCTGAGACAAAAAAAAAAAAAAAAAAGAGGAAATTAAGTCAATTAATAATCCTACAATGGCCTCTAAGTGCTCATGTTAAAGGAAGCATCACATGTGTCTCACTTTAAATAAAAAGCTAGAAATAATGAGACTTAGTGAGG